AATGATCATTTAATTGATTTAATTTATTCATTAATTACAAAGGAATGTACAGGACTTCTTTCTGTTTAATTTAAAATTTTTTTGTTTCTTTCATTTTCATTTCTAATTTTTTAAACGTTTGAATGTAAAATAAGAACTTAAAAGCACAACAAAAATAAAAGAATAAAATTTATTTCTTTATCTGATCAAAATTCCACTTACAGATTATGAAGAATTAAATTATACTAATGAAGAGCGTATGCAATTTGTACAAAAAATTATCAATTCAATGGATGTTGGTGATAACATTGTATTCTTAGGTCATAGTAGAGGATCGGAAAATGCTCTTCGATTAGCTGCAAGAAATCCGGTTAGATTTTTTTTAGTAATACAAATATGTAAGTAAAAAATGTAAATAATTATTTCAATTCATTAAATTCATTTCTTATATTTCAGGATCGATGTAAAGGTGTTGCATTAATCAATCCCATAGGTGTTAAAGCTCATCATAGCATTAAGTTTACATGGCTAATTAATTTTGGATTATGGTCATGGGAAACATTCAAGATATTTCGTTTTATTTTACGATATTTACTTTATAAAAGTATATGCCATTTTGAATTGTTTACATTTTACACTATAAGTATTTGCTAAAATTTTAAGTTTTTTTTTTTTTTTTTTCAACCTAAACCATATTGTAACCATTTGATCAAACATATAGATATAAAATATGTTACAGTAGTAATTTGAATTATCACATATAATCATATCAAATCATATTTCCCATTTTTCTCAATTCTTTTTTTTTTTTTTAGTATTTCAAATGTTGAAAATGAAAGTGAAAAGTGGTGATGAGGCGGCAATTTGTCTTAAATTAACGGCTAATATTGATTTAATTGGTCAAATGAATTATATCAATATGTTGAATAATAACAAAACAAAAGTATAATTTTTGAAATTTTTATGGTTTAAATTTTTGAATTTTTTTTTTACTAAAAATAATTTCCTAAAAAGCTGTTTGTTTGTTTGTTTTTTTCATTGAATTTATTCATTTAATCTATTTCTTTTGATCATTCCTTCATTTTATCATAAAATTTACAAACTAATCATTTTATTTTATTTATAGAAAGTCCACCAAGATATTCTTGCATATAGCATATATCTTTACAGGTTTTAATAGCTTATTCAACTGTTGATCATCTCATTGAAATATCAGTTAGTCAACATTTCGCATCTCTTTTTGATAATATTACTCATATGGTAAGTAATATTTAGTGATATCTAACATTTCATTATCACTCCTTTCTATTTGCTACTTTTTTTCTTTTTCAAAACAATTTCTCAGAATACAATATCTATTATATGTTGAGTTAGTTGGGATCAATCGAATGATAAGTTAGTTGGATTAGTTATCAATTCCTAGAATGATAAACATGATATCAATCATTCAATAACTTTTAATTCTTACAACCATTATTATATCTGTTATTTGTAGGCCGTAATTAATATAACTGTAGGCGCTTTTTTTTGGAAACGATATGTTGCAGCAAATTCATTTGAATGGTAGGTTTGCGTGCAAAAAAAAAATTATTAACTATAAAATTTCCAGAATTATCCATCAACAGATGGAAATACATCAATTCTGGATTACATTCCGGAACAGTATGCTGAATCAGATCGATCGTTTTCGGTGTGTTTCGAAAATGGAGGCCATTATTTGCAAAAATATCAAGCAAAATTCATTGCTAATTGTACTTATTCAATGCTAATAGCAAAAAATAGTATGTATCAAAATGATGAAAATGTACTTAAATCACGTTTATAGGTTTACATACAAACGACTAAATGTATTATTTTATGCTTTCAATTGAGTGACCATAGTCAGATTTGGTGGTCAGATTTGAAGTGTCTCTGGAGAGTCAAAAAACTGATTGAAATTTCGGGAATACAAAGTGTTAAAATGCGAATTGAACTTTATTTCCTAAAATTACGTCATAATGATCGGGCAGGTATTTGACAACCATTAAAGTAGTAGAATGATATTTTTGCAGCTGTTATGCACTTTTTTTTATGCAATATAAATGGACTTTATTTGCATACTGTAATATTTGTTCGGTGACACTTACCTTGTTGGCTGAACGATGAAAGAAAAAAAAAAGCGCTACAAAAAAAGGCATACAACAAATTTTAGGTGAGAAAAGCCTGAATTAAGATTGACGAAAATTTACTAATTAACTTTTTAATTACTTACCATTTCCGTGCCCATTTCTGATGTGTCAACAGGAGGAAATTACAGTAAGCATATCGTAACTCTCCATGATATAATCTTGATGTAAAAAATGTTATATGAAATAAAAAGAAGAAAATAAAAGCCATTTTTATTTAAAATTTTATCGCATTTTTTCAAGCATATTAAGAAGTTTCGAGAGAAAAAGAAGAAAAGCTAGCTAAGAAAGCTGGTAATAATTTATAACTTACTTAGAAGTACAGTATATTTAATTTGAAAAATATGAATAAATTAAATATGCAAAAAAAAGAAAAATTACCTGATTTAAAGTATAATTACAATAAAGGTACAACGTAGCAATCTCTGTAAGTGTAATAAGTTAGATGATGAATGAAATTTATACGTTAAGAAACATACAACCAAAACAAAAATAATTTCATTACAGATGTTAGATGTTGTTACAAGTGTCAAGTGTTGTTACAGGTGTCAGCTATCATTACAGAGATATTGAATATAGGTGTCATATAGATGTCATTAAAAAAACAAATCAATGATTTGCATACAGTTCATCTTTTACTATCAGGAAATTTTGGTCAACGAAAAAGAACTTTTAAGTCTAGTTTACAGAGGACATTTTATTGCATAAGATTGTTATGATATAAGCTAAGAAATGTTAACAGTGTTACTTAAGCTATTACAAATGTTGGAATATTTTATGCTAATGAATAGAAATGCAAAAGTTTCAAGAATACATAAATAACATAATAAAGAAGATTGTGATAATGATAAGCTATCAGATGATAATTTTATGATTTTATATTCGTATATATTTTAATTGTAATTTTTATGCTAAATAATAAATAATACTTCATCAAAAATTATCCATTTCATGAAGTTCCTTGTAAATTCGCATTTTATATTTTGAAATTATTGGGAAAAAGTGATCTAGAAGAATAATTATAGAATGAGTCAATTTTTAAAATTGTTGTTTGCTTAAATTTAAGTTAAATTGTTCGAAATGTTAAATATTTTAGATTGCAAAGGTTTGTTTTGAAATTTAAATATCAATGGCATATTTTACAAAAAGTATTTGTGAAAAAGTTGTATTTGTTTGCAATAATGATTCATTAATGTTATAAAAGCCGAAAATTACAATTTTCCTACCAAATTATTAATAAATTGATGGATAGAATAATAGAAGATGAAAGATGCTCAAAGTAAAATTGAAGAATGGATAGGGTAAAGTTGCTAGCTATGATCACTCCTTCAAATTCAACTCTATCATCATTTTGTAATTTCTCAAATCGTTTTCCAAATAGGACTTAAACATTTTAAAGTAACTTGTATCACTCAGTGTGTCACTTTCGTCTTTTCACTAATAATAGTTAATTAAAATAAATTATTATTATCTTACACAATTTCATCATTCTAAGATTATTTTCCATTTTTCTCATAAATTAAGCCTGCTGTATAATGCAATTCGCAATTGCAAAAATTACACTATTTCTCATTACGCTTAATTCCCATGCACTGCATTGCATGCATGCATGCAATGCAATACAATGCACATAAATGTGCTGAAATGTATTCATATCTGCAAGTTATCTTTGGGAATGCAATCAAAAAAAAAAATGGTTTGAACAGTTTCAGAAATATGTAAAATAGAACGATTAAATTTCTTAATGTTACTACGAATAAAAGTAAATATTGAGGGATGGGCCAATTATCCAATCGAAAATCAGTCATACAAAGTTTAAAATAAAGTAAGAAAGGTTTAAAATGAAGTAGGAAAGGTTTAAAATTAAATAAGAAAAGCTTAAAATAAAGTAAAAAAGGTTTCAAATAAAGTAAACAAATTAGCTTTTCTCTTAGAAAATGGTCCTTCCTTTTTGCATATTCTACTTATACATTTGTTGAATTTTGATACATTTGATATTTTCTCAATTCTCATTTATTCATTCCTTACATTCCTTCAAATTCTCAGTTATTCCCATAATTTATTGGAAAAATGGAGACAGACACAAATACCAAATGAGTATGCAAGAATTATGCAAGAATTATTGTGTATGCAAGAATTATGCAAGAATTATTGTGTATGCAAGAATTATGAAACAATTCCGATCCATCGGATATCATGTAATTTATGGTTGAAGAATTTTAGTCTTAAAAACTTGTATTACATGCATCCATGCATGCAACTACATTCATTCTTTGAAATCTCTTCTCATGCAAATATGAACATATTTCAGCATATTTATGTGCATTGGATGTACGCATGCGTGCATGCATCTTCATGCTTCCTTTTTTATTAGTTATAAATAAAACGATCAATGATAATCAAGATCAACAGTTAGCAATATGAAAATAAGAGATAAGTTGCTATTTTGGGACAATCGTGACTGTTTGCAAGGGATATCGCTGTAGAAAGCCCAGTTATTTGATCTAGGCTTATTTTAGCAGCAATCAATAATCTATCTTGTCCAGCAATCTGTTAAGAAATGTTCGGAAATCTCATGTTTACATTTCATGAAATATTTTAATGAAGATAATTACCATTTCCGCAATTGCTAATCCTTATGCAATGATTGTTCAGCGGGGAATTGTCTCGTCGTAATGGAGGAAATGATTAATCTCGAAGATGGAATGACGGGATAAGCCAATGACGAGGATAAAATGTTCCAGAAGCTTTAAAAAAATTAACAAAGATGGAAAAATGTAAGACATGAATATTCAAATACTTTAAATGTTATCATACTTTAGCCCCTTCTAAAATACTTTTTCACTTCTCTTCCTTTTTGATCTTTTTGGTCATCGTTAGGAAACGAATTGTTATTCCTTTGCCCAATTCAAAAAGAATTTATTAATGATGGATTATTCTATTGAAATTTTAACTCTCGATTTTAAAACAAATAAATTATTTTCGTGATTTCATCTTGAAACAGTAAAAAGATGAAAAATGTTACTTTTTTGAATCTTGCTCGGTTGAATCCCTTCCATTAGATGTTCTATCTTTTCAGGACATATCGTTTATTCCATTGAATGACTATCAGATTCCGCAAGAAAATTCACCTTTAGATAAAAGTAAACAAACAACAACAGAACCAAGTTAGTTATCCATCGAAAACTTCTAAAACATTGAATATGAAGTAGTAAATTTGATCATTGTCTTCCCATCCCATTTGAGAGTGACAGTATTTTACCAGTTGACAAATACGAAATGATAGTCCTGTAAATGTGCGTGCATGCATGTTGGCAAAATGAAAACTTCTTTAAAATATCTAAAAAATGACTTCCTTGAATGTTCTCCAAATATTGTCACCGTTTGGAACGGATAGATTATTCAGTTTAGCAAAATTAGTGTGATAGTTGTTGGGTTATACCAGTGAAGCGCACACTCTTCTGATGAAAGAATGATTGATTATATGTTCAGTTTTAGCAACCAGATGATGATTACCCGTGGCAGTAGATAGCTCCCTTTACTTTCCTCTCATTAGGTTACCTACTAGTTAATTGTCCACTTAACAAAACAGTTTCTCGACATGACCATCGAACATCGAAATTATACCGAATTTACTTTTCAGAAAAACGGATTCCGTTAAAGAAACATATCTGCAACTTCATTTTCTTTCATTTTTTTTTAATTGACGATGTGGCTTAGATGTTTTTTGCTAATCTTTCTCGCGTCTTTTATAATCATAGTTGCTATCAGCTCCATTCTTGCCTGATTTGTAAAATTTGGTCTTCAATCATATTACTAACATTAATTCAAAAAATTGAGTAATCTTCCCTGACGTCCTTCACTGTCTTGAAATCATCCAAATTTAATTCGATAACAAGTTATCCGGTATTTGTTCATGTTTGGAGATGCTATTCTGCAGGATGTTTTTACGATGTTTTTGCATTTGCGAAACAGACTTTATCGAGATTAATTTACCGGATAATTTTTTCAGCAAATCGCGGAGAGCGTTATTTAGGAAAAACAACCAAGGATAACTGATATTAAGTTAAATTTTAAGGTCGAAGAAAATGAACGTATCAGAATTTCGAGTTTTTTTCCGAGATTTCCAAACTATATCCAAAATATAAGTGAATCAAAGTGATTAAAAAAAAGTGAATTCTGAATTCAAAGTGAAGTGAATTCTAATCAGCTGATTTTGCCACCAGATGTTTTTGGATGCTGCAAAATCATACAAAAAGTCAAAATGTGAAGATAGATACATCAAATACAGTCTACCCTACCTGCTGTGGAGCATCATAACTGAGAGTTGGTTTTTTCAAAATGACACAGTAGCCTTCGACCAATAAAAATTACTGAATCTTCGCACTATCAAAACTGAACTTTTATCTTATTAGAAATGACCGTGACTCAAGAAGATTCAGAGAACTTTACAGCAACAAGTAATCTATGAAAATATTGCAATGGATGATAATATGTCAGTGAGAAATATCCATACTTTCAATGATATCATATTTAATTTCTTTTTGCTTCAGGATACTAGTAGAGCCAACCTTGAATTTATAGTCCAGGTCAACAGGTTCTGGTCGTACACAGAAATGTGGAACTACGGGACCCTGAAAAAATTTCATCTACTGCAATAATTAACAAAATATATAAACTATTGAAACTTCATAAATGATTGCTCAGTCAAAATCCCACGACAGTCGCGAACTTCGTGACCTTGCAAAGAGACACGCTCTGACAATCGCGCAATAGTATATAAGGCCAGAGAGGAGCTAAACAATTATGTAACTCCTGGCTGTAAGAATACTATCATCTAATGAAATTTCAGGATTAATGGATTAGGTAGATTAGGCAGAATGGATTGATAACCAATCAAATTTTTATGAAGAGCTGAGAATAAGTGTTTACCTCCTCTCTGTCCAGGTGAAATAACTTCAGCAAACGAAATTTACCGAAAACACAGTTGGATAGTCCATTTCTCAAAGTTTATTTTGAAAAATCTATGAGAAAATTACTTTGAATATTGTGGTTTCCGGTGTTATGATCACAAAATTGAGAGAATTGCCAGAAGCGTTATCACCATGCATGCCAGCCTCCAAAGCACGACGAACCAAAAGAACGGCTTCTTCTTCCTAAACATAGCACGTAGTAATCATACTTTGAATTTTCAATCTTCAGAAAATCGTTCAAGCTAAAAAGTAATCAGTAACTGCTTTATCCACTAGAATGAATAATAGAAACATTAACGAGTTGTGAATCGGAAATTGAAAAATCCGTAAATTGGAAATGAAAGGATACACGATAAGTCACGTACAAGTTACAAGCCCTAAAAGATCTCACAGAATGCACATAACGTACAAGACATTCACACTGCAATAAGTCAGACAGTGTAGTGATATTTGATGTACTACAATATGTTCTGTGGAAATCACACGCTCAATTGCTTACCGAAATAACAGAATGAAAAATAATCATTTTCTGGAACTAAATGACAGAAAACTTACCGCCATACCAGTTTTGAAATCTCGTTCAAGAACGGTTGTTGCAGCATAACTACCGGAGCCTTCCGAAGCGAAAGGTTTACTTTGCGTATAGCCATTTGCTGAGCACTAAAATAATAATTCTTCTACTATATCTAAAACTATGGCTTCCAGTATTATATCCTTGATGTAATGTTCAGTGAGATGGTGCATCATTAACGTTGAACTTTTTCACCTGACTTCTAATTAAGTCGAACTAACTGGAGACCATAATCATATAAAATAGCAAAAGACAGTGAAACGCTGAACTGGACTCTTTCTTTGAACTGAGAGTTACATAATGCGAAGAGAAATAGGGGGAAAGAACCACAAAACAACATCAGAATAAATTGGCCTTAATGAAACGCAACTGATGAGCAAGAACAAGCCAAATATACCTGATATAAGTGTGGTCCAGTAGGATCAACGCCGCCAATCAATAGATATGCTCCAACATGACCCATATATGAAAACAAATGCTGCTTGGCTCGCCGAAGTGCTGTAACCACTCGTGCTTTCTTTCCAGTATTAAGTTCTAGAAGTCGTAGTTGCGCAGATAACATTTTAGTTACCTGGAAATACGCCCTACTCTCCGCTGGCAAATTTAAGAATCATATTAAAATACATGCATTGTATATAAGCTTGTTCACTTATTCAGTACAACATATTTCTCAGTCGCAATTTGACTACAGACGGGACACAGTCAACATACAAAGTTTTCTAGGATATTTTTTAATTAAATCGACCAATTTAATTTGTTCCACTGTTCATGATTCGTAAGCTAGGTAGTCTTCGGTTAACATGCAGCAATGTCTTCCAAGTTTAATTAATGTTTTGAAATATGCTTTGCCATGCTTCAGCTCTGCGAGCCGATGATAATTTATCATCACAATGAAGTAGCCGCAAATGACGTCACATCCTTGTAAGAAAAAAGAATGACTAGTTTTCGAGAAAAATTATGAAAATTTAGTATATCTGACACCAACTTGATGTAAATCAGCAGCAGTACCAGCACCACATGCATAAATCGAATCGGTGAGTTTATGTACTTTTTCGCAGTGCTTGTCAGCAACAATGTTACCGGCAGTTGCACGCGAATCGGCACCCATTACTAAACCATCCTGTAAAAAAATAATCGAATCAATATTAAATGCAAACTTGTAACCTGAAACTATTTTCGAGAATAAAGTAAGCGAATCTTTGATAACCTTTACAAATAACACATCTTCATGTTGACAACTGAGTGAAAAAAGGAGACTTACGGTAGAGCATAAAAGAGTAATCTAATCATCACTTTCAGTTTTAGTAATATTCACCTTCATTATACGAAACGTAAAAAGGGATAAAATCAGATACTTTGTAAGTGGCTGCAACAATAGTTGTACCAGTACTTCGCATCGTCGGTGGTTTCACACCCATTGTTTCCAAGGTTATATTTCTGGCACAGTTTGAGAAATCAAATGCGTCACCACAGCCAATATCAGCATTACCACGTAGCACTTCTGTCATTTTCACACTGCAATATGTGACAACATATGATAACTGGTGTGGAATGACACAGTAAAAGAAACTCGCTTTAAGTGCGCTAGCACAGATCTCTAAGTTTCAAACTTACCAATCCCAGAATCCTTCTAAAGCACCACAGCAATCCTAAACCACAACATCAAAGAATTTAAGGTAATCAGCAATTCCCTTTCAGTTAAGGTTGGAGTCATACTGCGCAGCATTGACGAATTCAATTGTGGAAATGTGCTTTTCTGGCCATAGAATTATTTTAAATTTATTTGAATGATAGTAATATTTATCTGGCTATTTAATTAAATTAAGTAAAATGTGCTATGTTACAGTCGGAATATTACGCCGCGATTAAATAGAACAACGCCAAGAACACAGGCGGCGTATTCTATGCAAGATCACAGTTATCCAGCAAACCACTATGATGAAACTGTTAAATCCTACCACTCTAGCTTGCTGGAGATGTGTAATTCAAAACGCTTAGGTACATTGTGTCATTAACCGTATCTCTGGCTTGTTAGCACTAAAGATTAGGATGGACATTCTCAATTGTTACAACCGACAGTGTAACAGCAAGAAATACATTCAAAGAGGAACTTCTTTTTGGAACATTTCCTCTATTAATTTTAAAAACAGAACTACCGATGAGTAAGGCATCTGTTGTTACATCGTTCGGTGATGATTAACTTGTAAGTATTTGTTTTTATACAATCTCTAATAATTTCTGGTCAGAATAAGAGACATTTTGAACAAAAAAAAAGAGAAAACAATAAAAATAAATCAAACAAGACTTTGATCATGACAAACTAAAGAAATACAATCAATAATCCGGCAATCAATTGCAATTTGAAACGACAATCCAATTAATTCAAACAGTCTCATTTAAAAACAACCCGATCAACAGCTGTGAGTCACAAACAATAAGTCAACAAGAAATTAATTTAAACTGCTAGCTTCATATCACTATCATGTAAAATTTTCGCCCTTCTTTTTAGCTCTTATGAATAAAAATGCAACAAACATTTCACCTTGAATCTCCGCATGTTTACAGCAATAAAAAACAATTTAATATTTTCACAATGTTTTAACAATTTCAAAATTATCAAAAATCTTCGTTACACTCCACAGTATATTTTGAACAATTTTAGCGGCACCATAAAAATACATATAAAATGAAAAGTCGATATAATTTATGAAAAGACAATGATTAATTTACTGGAATACAATATCCCAAATCTTCTTTCAAATAAAAATAAGGATCTGAAATTCAGAAGAAAAATAAATAAATGAAATATAAAAGCAGAAACACCCATTTTCGAGTGACAATCAAATTCAAATGAAGATTTTCCTTCCCCAATTTAAGTTAGATATCACATATTAATTTGGAACTAACTTCTAGAATATGTCACTTTAGCATGAATTTAGATTGAATCAAAACTTAATTTTCTAAATCGAAATTTTTCTGTCTCAAAAAAATTTTCTGACCCCTAAACAAGCCTCTTTAAACGTATTAACCAAAAGATACTCTCTTCTCAATCTAGCCCTAATGCTTTCAAAAAAAGAAAAAAACTGGTTAACACATTCGGAGATTAACATACTCAAATGTATCATTCAAATTTCGTATACTTCATTTCGATATTTCGTTCACTGTGAGCAGTTAAATAGAGGGAAGAAAAAGGAACATTAGTGGAAGCAACTTTCTTCAACAACGAAGAGTAAGAAAAAAAACAAAGCAGAATACGTGACAGAATTAACTAAATGCCTGAGCAACGTTTCAAAAAAGGGTATTAAATTACGAACTGAAGAACTGAAATTAAACTTCTAGAAAAATTGAAAAATATAAAGAGTATTATAAATTATGTGCCTTAGTTTTTGAAGCAGATTTCACTTCTTCCAATATATATGTACCACCGTTTTTTTGGCATACTTCCAGAGACTAGGAAAGGTAAATAACTAATGCGAGGAAAACGGTCACAGGCGATCATAATAAAAGCGAAATTTTCAAATTCTGAATAAGTGGTACCTTTATATTATGAGAATGACAGCACAGAATCATTTATTAACTATAATTTGGAAACTGTTGTTCTAAAATTGGACTGGGAAATTTAGAAACTGAAAACTAATATGTGTCTAGAGTTGTACACAGATATTACGGTACGTCGTCAAACTCGTATGACAGTACTGTTTAGTAAGGAGTTTCATCACAATAATAATTATCAAGACTTTAGAGCATACAATTCACTATTCGAATAATAACAACATATAAGAACAAGTCTCCCTTACATATAAACATGAGATAATTTAAGGACAAAGAAGTGAACAACTCATCGATAAATGTGCTGGGATTTATGATAATGATGTTCTTAGTCGAATATCCTATTTGGAAACACTTTCTTCCATTTTTCGTCACTTATAACTCTTATTTGGACATCCTCAGAATCATAGACGTACTCCTGACATTATCTCAAAAGTCTGGTATTGTTTTTTTTCCCTTTCCATCTCTCTACTACCACATTTGTTCCCTATGTTTTCCTTATAATTTCCAGAAAATTTCGAGAAATCTCAAAGAAAATACACCAATTACGGTGTACTGATCGCTAACAAACCAATAACAAGTATGTTCGAACTATATGTACTGTTGCCAAACACTATCGCTCTTCACCACCTCCATCACCTGCATCTGATATTACTATATCTTCAGTTTCTACTATCGTTGATGCAGCCGTTGTCGCTGCTGTTGATGATGATGATCCGTTCGATGACGCACCACTTTCGTGCAGCCTTAATTAGTTGAAATAAATAAGTAAATAAATGAACGAATAGGGAATTACTAAAAATTTTGATATACTCTCCGATTACAACTTTAATCTTGAGATACGAAATGGAATTGGAGTATTTTGGAACATAAACAAATTTATTGAGGTCAACAGATTTTAATAAGGCTACAATAAAAACCCATCCTACTTTGCATACCTCCCCAAAAAAAAACTGTTCCTAATAAATCGATGGCTAAAATAAGCATATAACTCTTGACTTTCCTTGTAAGCCATTAACTTTCCTAACCATTGCAGCTTTTGTTTCAAGTTGATTTAAATATGAAAAGAGGAAAAAATTTTACCTGAGGTGTGGTGCTAAACGTTTGAAATATCGATGATCTAATGCAGAGCCCAGAGTTGTTCGTTGCGATGGTTCATATGTAAGCATTTCTGAGATGATATCAAACAGTTCAATGTCTTCCGGATCGTTCGATTTCATATAACGCTAGAAATAACATCAAATAACACTCAGCCCATTTTCTATTCAATACAAAGAAAACCTTTCTGGAAAATAAGTTTTCCAAGTACTCATGTAATAAAGAAAATGCCTAACTGTAAGTTTGTTTTCTGAAGCTTAATGAGGTGAAGTTACTAGGTCATTGAAAAAATTAAATGATTATGTATTCAAATAAATACATTTGCATTCATGTATTTGAGCTACACCTCATGAAATCTTTTTACAAACGATTTAGTAAACAATAATGTGTTTGAGTAAGCAAAGAAATATGCAAGATTTATTAAACTCAAATAATTCCAGCAACCACTGTTATGCAATTAATCTGACAACTTATGTTTACATAAATTGGACCACTCGTTTTAAATGTTCGATTACCTAAATGAATTAATAATGAGTAGAACTGGCGTAATTGCAAACAAATGAATTGAGAAATCTAGGTAAGAACTTATGGATATTTAATATAATACCTCCTTTAGTGAAGAGGACGGAATGAAGGAAACTCTCTCAACTTGTGGTTCTTATTTTTGTTTAAAATTGGAATAAAGAAAGTGAAAAACGTAGGCATCAGGGTGATGAGCTCAGTAAAGCACACTGGTCATAATTCTCTTTTTTTTCGTCTTCCCTTTCTCAATATCGGTCCTTTTGATTATTTTCCCGATACCTCTGCTAGGCATAATCTTAGCAGGAAGTTTCTAGAACCTTCAAAACAACCAATGGAGTGGATTTTCGCGTGTTTTAAACTAATGACGTTGACGTATAGAACATAGTAATGAATATTTACTAATTACAGCAATGAACTGTATGAAAGAAAAAGTGAAAACAAACATCTGTTGATAGTACAACTGATTGACAAATGTTCTAAAAAAAACTGGAGGAATAATTTTTGCAAATTCATAAACCACTTAACCATTCTCTCTACTCTCATCATCTACATCTGAACGATTTTCGATATTATCGCAACAAATACGTCAGGAACAAAGTGCACGATTTGAAAATATGAACCCACAGCAGAAAAAATTTGAAGCTATATTATCCATCATTTGGTCAAGTTTAGAGAATTTTCAAAATTTGTTTTGAAATTAAAGCAACATCTTCAACATGCAAGCTTTTCCATCCTGCCGTTTCATTCCCTTTCTAGGGAAACAAGCAGTAAAGACAAGAACAAGACTTTTGGTTTTGTAAATTCGCCGAAGATATTGCTTTAATTAACGAACAACTCCTTTCCTTAACTAACCCTCTAATGATTTCGAACTGTTGCAAATAAACTGTGAAATCAACTTTCTCTAATTTTATTCGTGCTTACGACATGCGGAACAAAAAAATATAAAATATAAAAGATTTTTATCCTACTGAATATAAAAATTGAAGTGAATTAAGCTTAGAAAGTCAATAGTTCAGACCCGAAAAAAATAAACAGTTCAATATTCAATAGGAAATAATACGCAATCATTCGATCAAATCAATATGAAATAAGCAATGATGCCCGCATAATAAGATCTCGGGTAAAAAATGCATTTGCAGGCTGCAATTGCTAAACTAATACCCTCCTTATAATACATTTCGTTACTCACAAAATCTGATTTTGTGATTAAAAAAGTTGATTAGTTACCTAAGAAATCTGAAATTTTTTAAAAGAAAAGTTTGATGAAGAGAAAAAAAATTCTTACCGATAACGGTTTACAATTATCTCTGACGTACTGCCCTGCTTGTGTTTTTTCGTTCCAGTCTAACCGTCCGTGATAAAAATATTTCGTTCTGAAATTGAAACCATTAATGATAGGTGCAATTTTTAAAACATATCTTTCGAAGCATAGAATAACTCGAAGCATAGAATAACGTTCGTATGATTTTTCCAACAAAGGTAAAATACGCAGAACCCATATTCATGTTCCAGCCAATAAAATGCGCATTAACCACAAATGTTAACCCAACTCTATCTACTCTATTCTAGGCCATCAATTTATACATATTTTCAATTTCTCCCAGCAATACTCCGAAAGAACAGTTAGCCTAAAGCTGTGATGCAGTATAGAAAGAACTCCTCACGTCCTGGACACATCACAGTAATTTTATTATTAATCTTCACTTTACAATCATCAAAACCCTGACAGACTTAGAATAAAGTATAATGAAATGATGAAAATTAATGAACCATAAAAACAAGCTGCCAAAAAATACTGATAAAATACAATGATATTAGCTAATATCAGAATAGAAGAAAATTCGAACAAAGATAAAAAAAGTTCATTAACAATACATACTTAGACTTCCTGCACATTCGATAAGGTAAAGTACCCAAGATCCTCTCCATCATTGCAAGGTGCTCCCTATTATCGTGCGTTTGAAATAATGTGATACCGAGGTAGAGCTCGAACAAGATGCAACCAATCGACCAAACATCACATGGTTGAGACCAACCTAATTCTGAAATATCTTTATACAATGATAATATCTTAAGCAATAAAATGCACTCTAAAAACTTTTTTTTGAATAAGATTTATATATATATATATAGTCTTTGAATAAGATATAATAATCAAAATCAGCAGTTCTTCAAAATTCTGCTCACAACAACCTTGCCATTTCATCCATTCCAACTACTGATCCCTTAATGTCCAAGATAGGACTGGAAGTACGCATCATACGAAATAATCATGTTCTACATGTTACAGTTGAAAGATATGCCTGTCTTACCATCATCCTAAATTATGGCTGCATCATGTGGATCAGGCACAATCAGACGTTCAATAATTAATTTACTAATATAAAAAATATATATTATGTATATAATGTCAAGTGAGACAGTTACATCGTCTTGACATATATCGCAATTATATAAGTTACCATAATGATATATCTATGATGATTTCAATCTTCTTAAAGTAGATCCCAGAAAATAATGCCTCTAGACGTGCTTTACAGGAAAAGAGTATCTTACTCATCAAAATAATAAGCAAAATTACACTACTTCGGCACCATTACCAGTTAAAATATAATCTGCAATGTTGCTAACAACAGCAGAGTGAAAGATGTATAAAAAAGCACATTGAATATATATATATATATATATATATATATATATATATATATGAAGCGTATCGCGTTTTAGATTTAATGAAATATAATAGTCGGAAATCATAAATCGATTGGTGGGCATTATTGGCCTATCTTTTGAGATCCCAGAAACTCATTTATATCTGATTCCTGTATTTCCTCTCATTCTGTGAAGTAGTATGATTACCAGCAAACTGAACTGAAGTGAGTAGTTATCAACTCGCAATAAGCGAAGCACAAGCGGAAATAAACTTTGGATATAGTATATGTCTTGTTGTACAAACTTCTGTGTGGACTGGCAAAAAATAGAAAAAAAAACACTAAAACCTAAAATAACTTCTGGTGCTCGATAGTGCCTTGTTGAAACAATTGTAGAATGATGTTCGTGATCAAACGTTGCTGAGCCGAGATCAATTAATCGTACGCGTGCATCATCGATAATTCGTAAAGGCCTCTTTTTCTTTCCATCTTCAACCACTCTGAAAAGACAACAAAAAGAAGTATTATTAGAAAAAAGTTCCTCACTGAATTAGTCTTTTGCTTTTTTAATAGGAAAACAGCAATTTCCATTCTGAAGAAAAAAATATTGGAAACAGTAGGAAATGCGCGGCTAAGTACACTTTGCATAAAGAAAATGAGAGATTTCCGAAATACAACGTATAATTGTATTAATAATTCGCGAAATAAGTAACATCCTTTGACTTGTATAATTTAAAGAAAAATAAAAGGGGAGATAACCTACCCTAATTGTTGTATTGACAAATTTGATAAATCCCGTAAAAGTTAAGAAATAACTCTATCAATGTGTATACGTATTTATGTGAATGAGTGTGTGTAAATGCCTGCCTGTGTGTGTTTATGATACTTGTTCTGGCTTCGTTTAGGCTAATAGACTTCAGACTTTCGAAGGTTTTTTTTCTCTTATCTGATTCAAACCTCTTGTGAAGAATGGATGGAACAGTAGTGTTTTTAATCCAAATTAATATTAAAAATGAGGGATAGTTTTACAAATACAAAAAAACTTTGACCTCTCTCTCTGTCCCCTTTCTAAAATTTAGGTTAATTTTTTAAGCCTTTTAAAAACAGATTTACCAGCAGTATTCAAGCATCCACCAGCTACCACCAATTATTTTGACGGATCTAAATAACCGGAAATTAATTTACCTGCCACATAATTTTTCAGTTATTCTCATCAATTCCTCTTATGTGAAATTTAATAAAACTGGACTCAGGAAACAAAACCTGTAGCTACTATTGAGAAACAAAATATTTTCGGGTTTGAGATCCGTGTGCGTTAAACGATTGTCGTGCATAAATTTTACCGCATAACATAACTGATAAGCTATGTACCGCGCTTGCTCCATTGGATAAGCTTGGTAATTATTCGCTTTCTGGAAAAAATCATGATTACGAGGAGTAACAATTCAAATTCCAGAAATTACAGAAAATAATACCATAATTTGAACAATCAGGAAAAAAGTAAGAATAAAATTCTCGCATTTCGCTTAATTCAAACTTTGAAAATGATTATCGATTCTACACGGAGTTTTATAGTCAATGCAGCTGACAATAAGGTATGCAAAGATTTAATATATTATATTTTCCTACAACATCAAGGTGATGCTCGAATATGTTTCTGACTTACCATGAAATCAAAAACGCTAAGACCAAGTAATTCGAACAATAAGCACACATGGCCATGATAATCAAAATTATCAAGGAGTTGTATCACCAAACTGGAAAAATTTTTTAAAAACGATTAAATTTCTTTCATAAGATCAAATAAACATATATTTCAATATAATATGATAAATAAATGAGTGCATATATAAATATCTAAATAAATAAATAAACAATACACATATATATAATATATATACGTAAGTAGGAGACAGGAGAAAATTATTACTTACAATTTTCCACTTGGATCTTTCTCCTGCAATTTGTTTAGTACATTAATCTCAAGACGCGCGGCTTCTCGATATTTGCTTACATTTTTGATAACTTTTAATGCAAATTGTCGACCACCTTTAGTACCATCCTTAACTTGCACTACTTTACCGAACGTTCCTTCACCCAATGTACGTACTATTTCATCTAAAAATGAATAAGGAAAAATAATCTGCAGTGATTTTTTTTTCTTTGTTTCGAAATACTGGGAGAAATGAAATATGAAATATCTAACAAAGGAGAACTCAAGAGTGAATGAAAAATATGTCCAAAAAAAGAGCTAAAATGAATGAAGGGAAGGAAAAGTGAGAGCTAGAAATGGAAAATGATAATAAAAGATCAACACGATTAGGTAATGGCTTTGGCGAAATGAAGGCTGGGTTGGGAGTCTATAACAGCGCATTTTTGAACTAATTATATAATTTCATCAAATTTCCACCAAAATCAGAAAATTCAAGCCAGAAATCAATTTAAAATTTAGACTTGAATCCAGGTGAAGTAGGCATATCTTTTAAATATGAAGAAAATTTGTCCACTTCTCGATAACTCAACAAACATAAAATCTAAGAAACTTATTGTTTTCAAAATCAGTAACATACATTTTCCTTGAATAATATCACCATCCTGATATATAAGATGTCCATCACGGTCATCCTGCACGACTGGCCGTGCTACCGAAGGCGCGATAGAACTTGATGGCGTTTGTCCGGCTCCCGTTACATGTGACTTCGATGAAGATGCCGGTTGCAGGCGATCAGAACGATCACTCTGAAATATTGTAAAAAAAATTCTTCTGCCTTTAACTGCATTCTGATTCATCTGGAAAAGGATAGATTTAAAATGCCCGAATAAGTCGTTCCCCGCAATCTTTGTATTCTGCATTTCTTTTTCTTTAAGAAGAAACAACTACCACTATTTCAGCAAAAAACTATTCAGAACAGTTGGTGTGATTAACAAATTTAAGAAAGTTTTTTATCCTCTGACAACTTAACCACAAGTTTGTAAAGGAAATTGTAAGGTAAATTTAATATATCCTATCGCTCACTAATATTACCAAACAGATTTAAGCTTAAGTTAAAAGAACGAAATAATCGAAAAGAATAAGGAACAAAATTAACAGAATCGGAAAATGGAACTGCTTTCCAGCAAAAACTTGAATATGCAAAAAATAAAAATAAAAATAAATTGGCTATGAATTTTAAATGAATAAATCTCATTATATGCCACCAACAACTGAATAAAGCAGGACAAAATAGCTTTCAACGACAAATAGTTTCGGCTCAGTCTCCTGTTTTCGTCTCAAACAAAAATTTGATTTCCGTCTATCAAACATATCGGGAAGCAATCCAAAGTGATATAGATGCATAAATTATAACCAAAAATACGAATTGATAAATAGAAGGCATCGCTCTTGATCCGTGATGATAAACGATCGGGTTTTTTCTGCAAACTATCCGACCTTATAAATCCCATAACAATATGTGAATGATGACGGGATTTCAGAACAGCTTCGAGTAAGTTAAGAGAAAAAAGCAAAGACCTGCGAAAGTCAAACATTCAGGATCATCCCCAATCGATATTAAACCAACGAATCTTTCCGCCCAATTCGAAAAGCCAAACGGTATTATTTGGGACTGCTGCTATCAAATAATAAATGGTATCATATGACCAGGCGGAGCGTCAGTCAATCTTTAGTGTGGAGTAAAAGATCAATTCCTCATATCTCCCTCTCTTCTTATTCTAGAAACATCATTAAAAAAAATCCTTTGTTAGCAACTAAAAACCATATTAAGTTGCAAAAGCCGGGAATGAAAAAATCACAAGTTAATTCATTCAACATTGAAACGAATTTTAGCATCATTTTTTTGACGATGTCGAGCATTGGCTGATAAAAAGCTACGGTTTCAGGAGCTAAAGCTTTATTTGATAATGCTATAAATCATGATGACATATCCTACTGGACAGTGAAAATTTTCCTCTATTCAAACATCCCAATAATCTTAAAGACATTTTGTTTGATTCGCAGCCGATAAGACAATTCATTTCATACCTAGAGTGAGCGACAAACACTAAGAATCACAACGTGGACAGCCTAAATCATATATAAGCAATAATAAATCTGACACATAAAAATCCGGTCAGAGATATTAATTGAAGAAACCATATCCTAATGAAACGAACAATTTTCCACTTGTATTTTTCTTTTCTTCCAAAAAGAAAACACTAATGGTTTTAATAGTTCTTCCTTGAACTTCTACACTTACTTGACAAACATTTTAAGAAATGGTTTTCGTAAACTTCTACACTCTCTCTAGACCTTGGACTTCTACACTTACTTGACAAACATTTTAAGAAATGGTTTTCGTAAACTTCTACACTCTCTCTAGACCTTGGACTTCTACACTTACTTGACAAACGTTTTAAGAAATGGTTTTCAATCGTGAACGTCAGACACCTTCTGAAACATTGTCAACAGGCAGCGGATATTTTTTGAAGAAAGCGAATATATATCGGAAATTCGCACTGTGGATGTTCTAAAGTTTATTAGAGGGCTGATGCATATTGACCCACCAAAGGTTATATCTTTGCATCAAGGGAAAACGATACCGAATTGACAGCAGCATGATTGGAACATCGTTCTTTTTCTTTCCGATCAGCATTTGCAATAATTCGATCCACTTTTGCACTAACAGATGGTGGTAGTTGAAGAGTTGCAAGCAAGGAATTACGTAGAAAATTAAGTTTGGGTGGTTGGTTTTGGTTTTCGGGTGGATGGTGGTGGTATCAGGGTACTTATGGTAG